ATGTGGAAGCAGCCAAGATGTTCTTCAGCTGGTAAATGGATAAACAAACTGTGGTATATTCATACAATGCAATATTATTCCATGATAAAAAAGCAATGAGCTATCCAATCATGCAAAGACATGGAGGAACTTGAACGCATGTTATTGAGTGTCAGAAGCAATCTGAAAAGGCTGCCTACTGTATGACCCCAATTATATAACATTCTGGAAAAGGAAAAACTATGGAGATGGGAAAAAGTACAGTGCTTGCCCCGGGTTCAGGAGGGAAAATGGAGGGATAAATAAGTATAGCACAGGGAATTTTAGGGTAGTCAAACTATTTTGTAGGACACAGTATTGGTGGGTATGTGTCATTATACATGTCAAAACCCATGGAATGTACAATACAAAGATTAGACTCTCATGTAAACTATGGACTTTAGTTAATAATAATGCATCAATACAGGTTCATCAATGTATCAAATGTACCACTCTAACGTAAGGTATTAATAATAGAGAAGAGTGTGAGTAGGATTGAGGTGGTTTATGGGATTGTACATTCTGTTTAATTTTTTTATACCACTCCAAAAACTAGAAATTAAAAAAGAAAATCTCTTCTGTAACAGCCACTAACATCTGGCTTCAAAAATAGGTACACCAGGATAGATTCATCAAAAGTGAATGATAAAGACTGGGAGTTCTACGGAGGACTATGAAGTAGAACAGCAGAGGCTCTTAAATTAAAGCTCTTATAAAATAAACAACATATAAATTAAGTTCCAAAAAGAATGAAGCTGGAGTACCTCCCTTTCCGCTCTACAATTTCATTGATGGGATGGATTCATTGGAAAGCTTTGCAATGTTTTAGGTCAAGAAATAAACAATGCCTACTTTTAGAAAAGTGAAGTTCTTTTATTTTCCCCAGCATCTTGAATTCTCCATTTTTAAATATTACATATTACAGAATTATCACTGCGTCAATATACAATAATTTAAGGCACTCTTACTTTGTCAGCCACCCAACATTTAAGAAACAGTTCTGAAGCCATAATATGCTATTTGGTTTTGTTTCTGCATTTACTTCACAGTTCTTTTAAATTCATTCATTGTGTATTTGATCTCTCTAATTAATCATAAATTCCTCCCCCAAACAAGGAACTTTTGATAGAGCAATCTTTCTCTCAGTGCTAACTGACCAACTTAAAATCTGTCCCTGAAGGAAAAATTACTATATATATCAAAGCTGCTGTGATTATTTATATCAGCATAAAATTAATTGCTGTGATTTGCCAACTAGAACACTTTCTTTTTGCTGGCCTCTTATTATTTCTATGAAAAGTGTATGAATTCTGTTTATTTTTAGTATTATTTTAGCATGGTTTTGAGAAGTAGAATTTAGTGTTGTCTAGTTCTTGGCGGGGGGAGGGCAAAAAGTACATTCTCTCTTCATAGGCCTGAAAGTCTTCACATCATCCTGGAGGAAAGACAGACCTTTGGTTGGATGTTTTCTGAGGCACAAATCATCATCCTACAAGTTAATGCAAAGAGCTCAATAATTTCCATTGTTAAAAGGTCTGTCTGCAACTGTCATGTGTTGGTCTCAGTTGCATTACCACTAGGATGACATGAGTGAGGTACTTTCCTAGGGGGCAGAAGTTAAGGGAGTGCCAACAAACTCAGCAATCAGGAAAAAAAAAATTTAAATACAATATTAGAAGAATAAAAATTAATCTTGAACACAGATCTTGAAAATCTTGAACAAAATATAGAAATACTAAATAAGACAGGCTCTGACGGGACAAGGATTTGGTGGGTGAGTCATACAAATACAGAGTCATACAAATATGACATACAAATACAGAGTCAGCTCCTGTCTTTATTGGAAATCTTGATTTCTTGGGGTTCTAGTCCTATTTGAACATTGGAGACTCCACCCTCAAAAGGGGACTGTCTGAAGGCATTGAATGTGTGCTCATTTATAGGAACCTCAATGTGCAATGTGTGTGCCTAGAGCCAGCAGTAAAAATCCTGCATGGCTTCTGTTTCAGTTTGCAACACTGCTACCATGTCTACTTCTACACAAAACAGTTCTCTTGAGCTACTCTATGCCTTGTCCTCCAGCCCTCACTGGGAGCCCTTTGTGCTAGATCATTCTTGATGCAGGTACACTTAGGGAAGTCCATTCCTGACTTCATTTTAATTGGCTTGGATTGGAATGTTCTTTGTACTTGGGTGAAAAATACCAAAAATCTCACCTAACTTGATTTTCAAAGAATGGTGTTCATAGATATGTAGCCCTGCAGTCCATACTGGCTTGTCTTAGGCACTAAACATGAGCAATGTATTCTATCTTTCTACAAGACCAAGGTAAGCATGGAAAAGTGTTTCTCTATGTAAACTGACCTGTAAAGGTCTATGTTCTGCAGAACCTACTTGGTAAGTTCAAACTGGTGATGGAAACAGACGTTGGGATCCTAATATAGTGAAAGAAAACATTCTTTAAGACTGCCTTAAGCAAAAACTCCTGTCTGCCCCCAAGTTGTCTTAAAAAAGACAGCGTAAGTAATCACTGTGCTTTGGGCTCCACAGCCCAACTACATCATCACAGCATCAATAGCATCTTTATAAATAGGGATCTGCATTTCATAACAGTGTTCTTTAAACACATGGTGGTAGGAAATTCAAAGTTGGGTAATTTGTATTGTTGCTGTGATTTATTTGTGCCTAAAAAGAAAAATTATAGAAGATACAGCATCATCGCCTGCAGGAGTGGTACAGTATCTGAGATCATTATTATTTACTTCCTGTCTTTTTTTTTCATAATCTCCTACTGAATAACTATTTTATTCTTCACTTGTATATAATCCGAGCAAGCTAGACACAAGCAGGTATATGTTTATTCAGGGGAAAAAACCCAAATATCATAATTAAAGGCTACATCTATGGTTAGTTAACAAATTGCAGGCACTCCAGCTTTGGGTATAAAATAGAAGATGACCCTCTCTGAAATGGACACAGTAGGAGTTAATGTGAAACTGAACGACATTAATCCTTTTGAGATGACTGACTTTGAGGGATGTTCTGTAAATGATTTGCTGTGTAGGCCATGCCATTTCCTTAGGCTTAGCATTGGAACATCAATCTACTGTGAAATGAAACATGAGCTGTTATTGTGAACACTAACATATTTGTGAAAAACACAAAAGATGTCTACAGAAAACACTGAGAATAAGAATTTGCTTTTCTGCAAGGAACAGAGGCACTCTATCTGCCAGGCAATGATGATGAGCACAAAACAATTTTGATTTATTGAATATGAGAGAAGCCATACCAGTTTCCTTAGGCATATTAATTTGGATTATTTAGACAACGGAAGAAAGTCAGTATTATTATTTCTGCTTGAAAAGTGAGCAGACTGGGTCTCAGAAATGTTACGTGTCTCACCCAAAGTCACACAGTTGGCATGAGGTTGTGACAGCATTTGAGGTCTGATCTGTCTGTCCCGCCAGCATGTGGGTCTTTCTCTATGAGCTCCTCCTCAGCCATCCAAGTGTTTCCTCCACTAGAAATCCATACTTTTTAGTGAGACGACTCTCAGACAACATCCCAGGTTGGGCAAAATCTCCACAAAGTTCTCCAGCTCAGACCCCATAAATCATCAGTTGTTTTTAAAAATACCTCCTTTCTCTAAGTGCCTCAGTTTTGAAGAATGTGTGCCTTGAATGAATAAATCAGCATTCTCACTACTGGAATCAACTATTCTCTCTATTAGTTTATAAGTATTCTGGGGTGGGTTTTTTTGTTTTGTTTTCCCTGTTAGTTTGAATCTTTGGCACCTGATCAATCTTGGATGAACTACTAAATTCAAGTTTCTGAAATGACAAAAATGAAGGATAGCTCTATTGGTTTTCATGGATTTTTCTACAGTCTTCTTACAAAGATGTCTCTCCAAGAACAATGCCAAAGAAAGCCAAACTGCTATAAAGCTTCTCACTGCTCTTTCATATGCTACCCTCTGCCTCAGATGCATTCACTGCATTGTCTCCTGACAAATTTCCCCTCCTCCTTTAAAATCCAACTTAAATGGCTCTCAGTTTTGTGAAATCATTCTGTGATGCCCAGAGTAAAGCCAATCTCTCATCAGTTTTAAACTTGTACATAATTTTGCACACACCACTGTTATAGTCACTCAGCACTCTACAGGAACTCCTTCTGTGTCATTCTTTCTTCTCATCTAGCCTATGAGTTACCCAACCATGTGGATGAAGTCAGAGTCACCTTGTTACTCCAGCACCTGGAACAGCAGTTGGCATAGGAAAAAATCCTCAGTAAATATTCGTAGAAATGACATTTTAAAACCATCCAATCTTATCTTTGAAAACTGCAGCCTTCAGGAAGATGTAAAAAGATGGGTACTTGTTAGGGGCCTACATCCTTAAAGGGCTTAACTAAGATCACGGTTGCTGAATGAAGTTCATTCTAAGTTCACTAAACTTGATTTATTACAATTAAGTTTCCTATTCTATCTTTTCTTTTGATTGCCTCTCCATGTTTAATATACCTTCTGCTTATAGAATTATACGGTGCCTGAAGTAACAATGAGAAAAATGGAGCCCCAGGAAGTCAAGGGATTTATCACAAATCACAAAGCTAAGTGGGAGAGTAAAGTAGAATACTCTGGAACTCTCAGCCCCTTTGTTACTCCTTCTAGTAGACCAAGGTGCTATGGAAATAATAATAAAAACTTGCATAAGCTTGTTTAAGCTTCCTTAACCAATTCAGAAGAAACTTTTTTTTTTTTTTTAATAATTGCGTGGGGCACCATACCCTGGAAAAAGTTGCCACCAGGTTTGTGCTTAACCCTTTCCAAACAAAGCCATCCACAAATTTAATGTTAGAAATATTGGTTCCATACTGATAGCTGTGGTTTTCTTTTCTCAATTACAAAGCAATAAAATGTGAGCATATGTTCATCTATACATACTAGCTGTTGTAATAAAACGAGAAGATATCGCACTGACCATAGTCTGTGTTTTCCGGCTCCCAACAATTTGATGGCCAAAAATAGGGTGTCTGTGGAATAAAAAGAAGTGCAACCCAGTTAAACACACACAAAATTTGTAGAGCTCTTGGTTTATGAATTGTGTTCATCTTCAGCAGTTATCCAGAATAGTTTGCTGATAATATATGCTTTGTAATCCAGGAAAAGTACCCAAAGAGGCATTGTAAGGCTTTTCTTCTACATTTACTTTGCTGAGCAATTTTCAGTCTCCAAATGTGTTGTGCAGCACCAGCAGGTACTTAAAATGTCATACATTTGCTGCAGTTTTATGTCAGGTGACATAAAGCTAAAAGGTCTGATTGTATCATTCCCCCCCCCAAAAAAAGTGTTAACCCACAAAGACTGAAAGCAGACTATTAAATTCAGCAAGACCCCCAGATGAAATATATTTAAATATAACAAATTGTTTTCTATGATTCAGGTATCTCATTATTGCCTTCAGTAGATCCAATGCTCAACCATCAAAATTTTCCCTAAAACCTGGCAATCATTTTTCTGGCTTTGTTAATTATATAATGCTGCTGTCAACACTATCCAACTAGATTTAAACAACTCTTCTGTCTCACTTTAAAAAACTATTTCGCCATAAAAACACTTATTGCTTCAAATTTTTTAACTGCAGAAACCAGAGGTGATTTTTTAAAAACGATTTTTACTTGATTTTATTTTAATTTTAATCAATTTTAATTGATTGGTGTGATTAACAATCAACAGAAATCTCATTCTGTGAAATTCTAGAAACTGACTGACAGGGCGCCTGGGTGGCTCAGTTGGTTAAGCGACTGCCTTCAGCTCAGGTCATGATCCTGGAGTCCCGGGATCGAGTCCCATATCGGGCTCCTTGCTCAGCAGGGAGTCTGCCTCTCCCTCTGACCCTCCCCTCTCTCATGTGCTCTCTCTCTCTCATTCTCTCTCTCAAATAAATAAATAAAATCTTTAAAAAAAAAAAAGAAACTGACAAAACTACAAAGAAACTGATCAGGAAAACCCTGTTATCATCAACATTTTGTATGTTCTCATAGAGGTTTTCTAGCCCCACTAGATGGACATGCAGGGCTCCAGGCCATGAGGATGGCCACCTGTATACTCTTTCAAACTGTGATGATGACTCTAGAACTCAATGAAACAAGACTGCAGACATCAAACTTGTGGGCTTACTTATATTTATTAGTCAGCTATGTTAGCTACCCATGTGTAATGAGCATACTTGAGGTAATCTCTGATTAACTGTTTGATAATTCTCCCACTGGAAGAGGGATTCTCAAGGCAGAGGGTAAAGGATAATTGGGGAGAACTGTTTGAATCTCTGGGGGAGAACCTTTTCAAACTGCTCAGGACTCCAGGGATTTTGATTTACCCTCTACTCCTTCTTGGGAATTGCGGCAGGATAATAAAGGAATCTGCTGATGTTACACATGTGAACAAAGTGACGACAAGTATTTAGGTGGGGTGGGGAGAGTTGAAACACTGGACAAAGGAAGACATCAAGGATTTCTATGGCCCCATTCTCACATGAATCCCACTTGACTCCTTGGGAAATAGAGCTTTGAGGGTAAAACTGGGTCAGAATCTAGGGGAATCACAGGGAACAAAGTAGTTAAAATCTTGTGGGCCACTAGTTTTGAGATACTTATCAAAAGCATTATTCCCTTCATTCTGTGAGGGGTGTGTGTGTGTGTGTGTGTGTGTACACTTATCTAACTTTTAAAGTATCTATTCTAGTCAGACTGGCCAGACTCATACTTTTTTCTCAAAGCCACAAGGAATGTTCTTAGCTGCATTCTTACAATTTTTCTTTATTCTTTTATCATTTACTTTAGTGAGAATTTCCTGACTAAAAATAAAAGAATAAAGCTATTTTATGCTGTGATATTATGCGGAAATGCCTTAAACCAGCATTCCTCACAAATATTGCAAGATTTTTTCTAGGAAACGTATTTTAATTTATAGTAAAAAAGAATTTAAAGAATAACAAATGCTTATAGTTTGTTGAAATTTAAAAATTTACTTTTAAAATTCAAGTAGACTTCAGGACATTTTAATGTATGAGTTTCTCTTTTCTTTTCACAGTTGGCTTCTTTAGCTATGATAAAACTGATCCAGCCATTACTCAATAACCTTTGGCACATATACTAATGTAATGAAAGTCATGAAAGCGACCTGGAGAATCGTGTCAGATCTCAATTACAGCTAGCTAAGAGAGGATAATTAGACAATTGCAAGTTTACAATAAATACAGAAATCACATGATTTAAAATGTGCTGAGAAATTGAGACAAATTTACATACTGCGGCATATCAGTGAGATTAAATGAAGAGTTCTGTTTGTCTCAAACTCATGCCCTGAAGCTTCTTCAGATTCCTAATGATGGTTAGAATCTCAATCATTCACTGAAGGAACAGTAAACATGATATTGCAAGTTTCCCATTTTAATTCATGATTTTTAAAATCCTCCCAGGGAGTTGAATTTCAGCTCAATGTAATAAAAAACTTTCTGCTGCTTGGAACCAACACAAAAATGGAAGAGTACACCTTGAACAATAATATGTTTTCTATTATTAGGGCTGTTCAAATATAAACTGATTAATGCCTTCACAGACTAATATTAAAGCAGGAATTCAATCATCCCTGACTTCTCTGGAGTGTCCTTTGTTTTTTAAATCTCGGTTTTAAGATCCTATGATTATTATATTTACAAATATGGCACATTTAGATCCTATTTCAAATGTGAACAGGTCATTAAAATATTTAACATTAATTAATGGAATTTGAAAGACTATTTATCATCTACCTAGGCACATTGAAAACTTGCTAAACTTCTGCCTACACCACTTGCACCCATTCCCTTGTCTTGTTCTAAAGCTCTTTAAAAACAGTCTCTTCTTTCTCCAGAATATATGGTGGCCCATTCCCAACTCTGCACATCTTTGACCCATGACCATGACTAACACATGTAAACCTTGTCTGCCTACTAATTTCAGTCTGGGAATGACAAGTGCAGAGTTAAAGGTTGCAAATTAGGTTAACTCAAGACACCATCACAAACTTTGGGCCCATGTGTGAGCTAGTTTGCTTTAAGGAAAAATTTTAAATTAGATAATTCTCCAGAGATAAACAGACTACATCCAATGCTTCCCTCATAGATATGTTCTTTTATACAGAGATGATTTTAGTTGTAATATTGATTGTGAAGATAGATAAAAGTTGTTATTTTTGTAAAAAGAAAAATCCTTTCATTCAGAATTTGTGAGATTTTTATTAGGCCTAAAGTTTACTTATAGTCTCTATATGAAAAATTTTTCAAAGAAAGTAAGATTATATGGAAAATGTAATCCTGCAGTAGCAGAAAAGTAACTCCCTTAAAAAAATCAAAAAGTGTTACAAATACATAAATATTTTGTTTACTAATCACTAATAATTTTTATTTATTAAAAGTTACCTTTAGGAACATGAGTTACATTAACTTATTAATAAGCTATTTTAAGCTACCATTACTTTAACTGTATAAAGGATAATGTTCCTTTATTTTAAAGCCTTTTAAAATTAATTAATTTAATTTATGTTGCTTGAAAACTTAGGTCAGTATCCTGATTTCAAGAGACTGCTTCATCTCCTAGCTATTTGGTGCATAAAGTCCTGTGACTATTTGCCTTGGATAAAAAGGTCCTGAGGAAGTGGCAGTGAGAGTGTTCTAGGAAGACAAAGGTCTTTAAATGTTTTTAAAACATATTCCCTCTTTGTTCTCTGTTTGTCTCACCAAGTTCTTTGGCACCCAAGTTATTTTGTCATTTATTTAGATATAGAACATCTAATGATATTTAGAACAAATGAGAAAGAATGCTCCAATGTCTACAAGTTTGACATAGGGGAGAATCCCCTAAAAATACATAAGAGCTAGAGTCTGAACTCTGGCATTAAATGTGCCTTAATTTTATGGGCTAGAACCCACCAGCCAGTTATTAATGAACTATATTGCCTAATGAAATGTAGCATCTACTTCAGGTAAATCATTGTGAACTCAAGTGTCAACTACATGCTCAAGGACCAAAATCAGAGTTCACAATCACTTCTGAAAGAACAATAGCATCTGTTTCATTTGGAAATGACCTAAACGACTCTTCTCAGTTTACAGGTTATCTACGGTATAGTTTTGTCTCAGATGAGTGCACACACACAAAGTATCATGCACGTCAGGCTTCACAGTCTTCTTGAAGGAAGCCTCAGATACTGACATGCAGAAGGCTTGTATAATTAGCTAAATTCTGCATTGGAGTTTCAAGCATTCCCATGAGAATCTGCTTGGACTGAAGACAGTCTTGTATCATGGACAGGGTCCAGAGTATAATCAATTCAGTTACACTTCTCAGCTTCCTTCCCAGTGGCTAATGTAGCTTACACATGAAGAACTCTCCCACGTCCTGAATTCCAGCAAGCCACTCTGAATTTTTCTCAAGCTTTAATATAAAACGTAACTTCAATCATCATACAGTTTAGCTTTCACAAATCATCATAACCAAGCACATTCTTTCCCTGCTTATTTTTTTTCTGTCTTATACTGAACATTAATTAGTTTCTAACTAGACCAAGCCAAATAAAATAAGTCATATTTTCAAAATTTTTGTAAAAACAATCAACAAACAAAATGCAGACTTCTATATTACCATTAAGGAATATTTTCATTAAACTTACCTGAAACCGATAAAAGGTGCCATCATCTTTGAGTGTGAGGACGTGATCCGAGATTGGAAAGAAGTAGCCATGGGCAGCCATTAATGTTCCTAAATGGAGTGCCTCCACTGTTTCATGAAAACAAACAAACAAAAATGTATACAAATTTTTTTTTTATGTTGATTTGCAGGAGTATAGGATTTTATCTTGTTCCCTTTTAAGCACATTCTTTTTTTTTATGTTATGTTAATCACCATACATTACATCATTAGTTTTTGATATAGTGTTCCATGATCCATGTTTGCATAGAACACCCAGTGCTCCATGCAGAACGGCACAATACCCATCACCAGGCTAACCCATCCCCCTACCCATCTCCCCTCTTAAACCCTCAGTTTGTTTCCCAGAGTCCACAGTCTCTCATGGTTCGTCTCCCCCTCCGATTTCCCCAGCTTCATTTTTCCCTTCCTACGATCTTTTTTTTTTTAACATATAATGTATTATTTGTTTCAGAGGTACAGGTCTGTGAGTCAATAGTCTTACACAAATCACAGCGCCTTTTGAGCACATTCTTGCATCCAAATTCTTGGCATCCTAAACAACTTGGCTTTGAATTTTTTCTTTTTCCATCTCTTTCACAGAGGGTACTAAGGTGGCTCTGGTTCCACGTAGTAACTGTGCAATGACCAACCATACCGCACGACGACCAGTGCGTGAGAACATAACACTGTGGAATGCTGAGACCAGAAGGCTATTCTGACATCACAGAATCCGACTCCTTCATTTTATAGATGGATATATTTTGCTCTATGTTAATAGTCTTCCACAAACAATTATATTTGGCATTTACATAGCACTTTAAAACTTTATTTTTATTTTTTCTTTTCTCTTTATTGTATTTATTTATTTATTTTTAATTTAATTTTATTTTATTATGTGATGTTAGTCACCATACAATACATCATTAATTTTTGATGTAGTGATCTATGATTCATTGTTTTCGTATAACACCCGCTGCTAGATTTTATTTATTTATTTGAGAGAGAGACCACAAGTGTGGGGGGGGAAGGCAGAGGAAGAGGGAGAAGCAGGTTCCCCACTGAGTAGGGATCCTGATGCAGGAGCGACCCCAGGACCCCCATCATGACCTGAGCTGAAGGCAGACGCTTAACCGACTGAGCCACCCAGGTGCCCCTAGCACTTTAAACTTTTAAAAGTGTTCTCACTTGCATCACCCCCCAGATTATATAGTGGATAATCCAATACTATCAGCAATTTTTCTAATGGGATGGATCATTATTACATGATGTCATCAGCGAAAGTTAAGGCATCCAAAACCATTTATGCTACATTAAGTGAGTTTGCTAAGCAACGATTTATGCTGCTTCTATAGTCCTGTGATCATCTGGACTGCTCTAGTTTCTACTACTCTATATTCAGTGTTCCAGATATGGACCATGCAGAGGTTTGTTTGACAATAAAAAGATTACACTTTTCCAGAAGGCTGAGAAACAGGTGGAACATAATACTGTGATACTCATACTCTTTTTATAGCAGTCAACAATTTCTTCCAATAAAATGGTTGATAAAATTTGGTCAACATAGTTACTATTGCAGTCATGCAGGAACAATATAAAGTTTGCTAACTTAGAGTCTGGCAACCATGGAACTATGCACAATAGTTTTTCAGTCCATTGGAAAGTTAGATTTATTGATCTGTTTTGCATCTTTATATACAGTTTAGTTAGGGATTTATTTCTGTTTCTTAGACAAGTAAATGGTTCTTTTTTTTTTAAAGATTTTATTTATTTATTTGACAGAGAGAGACACAGCGAGAGAGGGAATGGGAGAGGGAGTGGGAGAGGGAGAAGGAGGCTTCCCGCGGAGCAGGGAGCCCGATGCGGGGCTCGATCCCAGGACCCCGGGATCATGACCTCAGCCAAGGCAGACGCTTAACGACTGAGCCACCAGGCGCCCCAAGTAAATGGTTCTTTAACTCGGGAATTCTTACAGTAGTTCAGGAATGTGTGGATCCATCTGTCCAGCTGTCAATCCTGGGGCGCTTTGATATTCCAGCCAGTACTGAGTCACTAAACAGCTTGCTATGGTGCAGGGGAGCATACGAACCCTTCCCCTGTCCTCTACCTTCCTATGCCTATGTGGGCTAATAATACATTTTAGTTTTTAATTTTATTAAAAAATTAAATTTTATCTGCCATGAGGTACTATGGTGCCCCTTTTAATTGTCATTTAGCATCTTGTAAACACTTCAGTTGGTAACTTCTACTTCCGGCCTCTCACTGTGTTGTACTTGTCAATAATAAAGAAGAACTGTCAATCATCCTCTTTGCCATGCCCTTGGAAGACTGTCATTAAGGGTCCCAGCCATCATCTTATCCACACTTCCAATTAAGTGCCTCCCTGCATAGAATGTTACTTTGCTACAAAGGAGTAATTTTTTCACCATATATATATCATGTCTGCATCCTTTTAGCTCAAAGTCGAGACCTTCTCAAAGCCTGCGTTGCTTACAGCTACATACCCACATGTTCTGTGACTCTTGCTGAAACTCAGGAGCTAGTGAGGTGTTGTAGGAAGAACAAAACCTTTGGAGATACTCGCTAGCTTTTGTTACTTAAATTCTGTGTGCCTCTCCCATTTATTAATAGAGGTAGCAAACCCACCTTGCAGGTTGGTATGAGAACCAAACAAGAATATATGTAAAGAAGTTGCACAGGAGACATTCAATAGATGGTAGCTGTTATGCTTCATTATTTACACATGAATTCAGGTCACTTTTCTCCAAAGCACTGTTAGGAAATCCACTTGCATAAATTTGCCTCAACTGGGCTGAGAGAAATTGGCAGTCCTAAATAGCATCCTAAGCAGCCACTTACATATTATTTTGTGTGTGTGTGGATTATTTATAAAATTGAAAGAGTGAGAGAATCTATAAGGATTGCTAGCCCATAACAATGAGCAGGTGCTTACAGCCTCGCTCATATTCTGAGTCCCTGGATGCTCCCATCAGGTAGCACTAGTTAGGGCAACACATTACATCTGTTTTAGAATTGCAAAGTCAGGTGGCCCACCTATCTTGTTATAACCATCTTTACTTGTTTTATTCCCAGCAATCTGTGGCCTAGGAAAATATTATTAGCACAACTTTCCAGAAATGGAATTGAGTTATGTCACACGAGAAAGTCTGCAAGAATAGATTCAAGAAAGGAAAACTGAGATGTCCAGAAAGATAAATAGTAAAGGGCTTCAGATCTCTAATCATAGGAATGAATGTGACTAAAATAAAATAAACAGAAACCAGTGGGGTGCTAAAGGGCTGATGAGGATTAGAAAATTATAGTGAAAGTAAATATAACGAAGCTGCAGAAAAAAAATCAGAAGCAAATAAACATAAGCATGTTCTTACCTTCCTGCATCCATTAGATACTGATTCTGAGAGATCATACATTTCTAGAGGGCTGGGTGCATGTCAGCTGGTTTTCCTCATGTAGCACTACCATACATGATCAGATCATAGACGTCATGAGCTTTGTCACAGGACCACCAGAGAACGTGGCTCCAGGACAGGAAAAATGCTTAGAGGAAAAGTCAGGGAGTCGAGGTAGACTGTCTGCTTTATTTCAGACTGTTAGCTTGGCACTTAGCACATCAAGAGTAAAAGTAGCTATTGAACCAATATTTGCTGAATGAGTAAATAAGTCAATTTATGAATCAATGACACAACAAAAATATGAAAAAGGGAGTGCTGCATGAAAAAAGAACAAACTAGTTATTTTGTGCTGTGATGATGAGCAGCTTGTTCAGCTCTTCAGAGATAATGCAGATGTTCATAATCTTGTTTCAAGATACTTTTATAAGCTTTGGAGGTGAGGCTGTGGTAGGTCTTTTATTACGGGAAAAAGTAGTAGTGAGATTAATGGCACACACACACCACTAGGAGATCTGAGAGTGGGCAGGGGGTAGTGTTCTCAAGGCTGACCTGTTTATTGCTGGTGATAAAGATGGAGCTACACTTCCCCATGGTCCCTCTGCTTCTGAATCCCAGCACAGCCTTAACCTAATAAGAATCCAGAGGACTGCTGACAGTCTTGGAACAAAGTGTTGCAAGAATTTAATGAGAAATCCATCAAGATCGCCCTTCCCAATAATGACACACCAGATGGCTCCACCACGTTACGCTTGTTGGCAAAATAATCACTAATTAATCTTGTACATGTGTTATTCGCGTCACCCACACAGCTAAATAAAGTTCAACAACAAACCTACCATAAAATTCAATTTTATTTTTCTTTTGGACAGTCAAGCCATGAACAAACTGAGAAATAAAAATCCATCTCCAAACAACTGTTACTATGTGAACAGCCTAGTGTAGCTTTGTTAAGCCTGATCTATTCATCACATTACTTCACCCCAAGCCCTGGAGCAGGAGAATTATCAAAATCCTTTAAAAGCAAAGAGAATTCTGCATAACATAATTTACTTTTGAATCACGACTACTTGAGAAAGTTAATAGGATGAAAGCATGTTATAAAATAGGCTTGTGTTGTTTAGTGCTAGATTTCTATACTCAGTTCTACACTTAAAACATATTTTAAAAACTCAATAATATTTTCCTTATCCTGAGGTCCAATTCTTGGCAGTCTCAGTCCCTCCCAAATACAGTCCATAATTTTGAAGTAATGGAAGAATGCCTCTGAGTCAAGAAAATAATAATAAAAAAGTATCACTAAATTATGTTTTTATTCCTATAATTTATTTTTATTTTCTGTGTATGTATTAGGAATTGGATTGTTTCATTATTAGCACACAACATACTTGATGTGGTAAATACGATTACTGTGTGGAGAGAAATATTTTAGAAGGAAATCCACTCAAAGTAGGAAAAATGACAGCTGATGATATGATATTAGGGAGAGAAAAAGCTAAAAAGCAGATAGACAGAGGTAAGTTGCTAAACAGTAAAATAACAGGCATTCATCATGATGATCCTGTGTCATAAAGATTTTGTTGAGCTTATTACTCTCTGTTTAAGAAGACAGGGAAGTGATCACTTTAGAAGTACTTCAAAATATAACTTTTTAAAGAAGTGGCACTTGAAAAGGTAAGG